GAGGAGTGGTTAACGCTCTGCTGACAAAACCACCACTATGTTTGTAGACAATATACCTTGTCTTTTTTCTCTTGGCTAAGCTGATAACCAGTGGCCAGGACCAGTTTGACAGCACCCCTGAGTGCCTTACTTTGAACAGACCTTCCAGTGTTGGTACTCAGGAGAAGCCCTGGGACAACTGCTTCTTTCCTATGCTTGTTCAACACCCCAGAGGAAATGACAGCGACAGGCCGTGTTGGTTTAGGGAGCAAACACTTGACCACAGCTGAATTTCTTCCTGCAGGTGATTCGGGGGCCTAGGAATGCAGGATGTGTCCCTGCAATATTCTTGTGGCCAGATGGAGTTGGGATGCCCAAGTTTCTTTCCATCTCAGAGACATCTGCTTGTTCCTGGTAGGCGAGGGCTCCAGTGTGCTAGGCTGCCTTGGCTTTGGGCGCAGGCTGCCATTGTTAGCACCAAGTCAAAGGGCCTCGTGCTTCATTTGCAGCCATATTCAAGTTCTAGGAATTTATGACTATGGAAAGCATTGTGACTTTGTGGGTTTGCAGTTGCAACCAGTAAGATCTGACCAGATTTAGGTACTAGTGAGACATTTTCAGGCTAGTGAAGAAGAAAGGAACAGGACTCTTAAACATTTACATCAAGTCAATGCTGAACACGGAAAGGGCAACAGTCCAACAATCTGAAGTTCCGAGTTGAGACATATTATTGATTCTTACCAGCTGTGTGGGCCTGGGCCACTGAACCTTACTGAGCCCCGTCTGAAGTGGGGATGGTGATGTGCCTTCCTGGAGGTTGACTTAATTTAAAAACGAAATGAAACCATCTATAAGAGGGCACTGTATATTTGGAATACAGTATATAAATTTAACTTATCCTTATTTTTACTTATTTATTTATTTTTAAATGTCTTTATTGAATCCAGAGAGAGTAAGGGAGAGGGGGAGAAAGACAGAAACATCAATGATGAGAGAGTCATTGATTGGCTGCCTCCTGCATGCCCCTTGCTGGGGATGGAGCCTGTAACCCCGGCAGGTGCCCTGACTGGGAATCAAACCAAGATCTCCTAGATCATAGGTCAATGCTCAATTGCTGAGCCACACCTGGCCTGGCTATCCTTATTTTTAAATATGCCCTCTGCTGTATTAGTACAGCTCTCCGCACAGACTTTTATCATAGTGACTTTTGCATTGTCTTATAGAAATGTACATATTTATTTTTCCTGAGAGAATGTAAGTTCCATGAGGGCAGAGACTATGCTATTCATTTGGTATCTATGGACCTAGCTGCTCCTAAGTACTCAGTCTTGGTTGAATGAAGAAATAAATAAGTAATGTTAATCTGCAAATTTACCAAAGGTGTGAGAGAAACGGTATGAATACTTGAACATATATTATAAAGAAAGAAAGTTTGTAATTCAGGATCTTTCAGAGGCATATCACTGGCTTATAAAATACTCTTTTCCAAGCTCAGCACAAGTAATTGAGTCAAGACTCAGTAGAACCACACAAAACGGGGTTTCTGGTTTTGTTCATGGCCATGTCACCGGGAAGAGAAGTGCAGGTGTTCCTTGCTATCCACACTCCTGCCAGGTGAACTCCTGAGATCTGAAGTCATGTTATCCAAACTCAGAGTCAAACAGACAGACAAGGACATGCTTTTGGACATAGACCCTGATATACACACAGACATGTCCATATATACAAGGCATCATTTTTCTTGACAAGACTTATCATCTACTGGTGTCCAACATAAAGAACATAATCTAATGCAAAGTTTTTCGAGCTTCCCTTGCCTAATTTTACAGTCAGGATCAAGTCTACTCTGTGGAAGTATTTAAAGCTATGGCCTGGTCTGGCCAGTGTGGCTCAGCGGTGAAGCATTGACCTATGATCTAGGAGGTCACAGTTTGATTCCTGGTGGGGGCACAGGCCCAGATTGTGGGCTTGATCCCCAGTGGGGGGCGAGATAGAAATATCAATGATGAGTCATTGATTTGCTGCCTCCTGCACGTCCCCCCTCTGGGGATCAAGCCTGCAAACCGGGCATGTGCCCTGACTGGGAATCAAACTGTGACCTCCTGGTTCATGGGTCAACGATCAACCACTGAGCCATGCTGACCAGGCCTAAGCCACTTCTTAGGACTCATTGTCACTTTGGATGGGAGAAAGATATCTCAAATCGTTGAAGGGTTATCTCTGAATCCCTAGCACCTAGACAGCAGTCCCAATTAATGCTTTGTAAGTGAGTTTTTGGCACAGCTACGAGGGCAGGGGTAAGAACAGGATGGCACACATTGCCAGAAGTGAACAGGCTGGTGTTGGCTCAAAGTGCTGTGCTTCAGTATAAAAATTTAGAACATATTTATGGTATAATATGTACATTTTAATAAAGTATTTAGAGATCCTTTGGCCACAGTTAATGGAAGCCACCTCAAATGAACAGCTTTTTCAAAAAATATATTTTGTGTTGCTGTATTTGAAATCTTCAAACTATATGGTTTCACTGCTATTTATTCAGAAGAGAATCAAGATAAATTTTTTAAAACAACTTTACTTTGGGGATGGAAGCAAATTCTTACCTGTGAACCAGAGTGTTCTTGAGGCCACCAACCAGGCCTCGGGCGATGGTCTTTGCTTGGGGGGTGAGAATCGCTTGGGAGACATGGAAGGCTCCATGTGGGGTCCGCTCACTCAGAGTGGTCTCCAAGAAGAGGATTAGTTTGCGCACACTGGTGGTATTTGCCCAGGGTGCTGGGATCTTCTTTCCAGGCCACAGGAAAGGGTATTGCTTGTAGAAGGGGCAGTGATAGAAAATAAGAACCTGAAATGTTCAAAACAGAAAAAGGAGAGCAATTCATGAACAAATTGAATATCAGCTCCTTGGCTTTATGCTGATTGCTAGGAGGAAAGGTAAATAAATATAAACACACGGAAATTCAAGAATTGCTATATATGTTTTTAGAAAATTCAATAAGCAAGGATTTAAGCGTTTATGTATATCTGACTTGAGATTTAAAAAAAAATATATATCTTTATTGATTTCAGCGAGAGGAAGGGAAAGGTAGGGAGAGAGAGAGAAACATCAATGACGAGAGAGTCATCGATCGGCTGCCTCCTACACGCCCCGGACTGGGGATCAAGCTCTGCAACCAGGGCATGTGCCCTGACCGGGAAACGAACTGCAATCTCCTGGATCCTAGGTCAATGCTCAACTGTTGAGACACGATGGTCGGGCATGACTTGATAATTCTTAACTTTATTTTTGTCAGCATTGTGAAAGTATGGTAGAATCCGGAACCCCTTCTCAGACTATGATTTAAATGAATGTATAAAATAAAGTAGACAGGATTACAAAGGGAATCAATGAGATGGAAATAGAGCTATGAATGTATTAATTGAATTTGTAATAAATTGATGCATGTGTTTCATATAAAGACATTAAATAAAAATATTTTATGGTAAGCACAAGGTCCATAATTTTGAATTAATGATGACTATAAATGATATTTCAAGATATCTGCAGTAACTGATATGTGATATGGAAATATATGTGATTTCTATAAGGACAAAGTCACAGGTAGGGGGCAATAACTTCTGAGGGTGACTGCACTCATAATCTAGGGGGTATATAACTTTGGGTTAAAGGCAAGTGAAAATAAATATGTAGTTTTTTCCATCCAAATTCACAGACTTCTTATATTCTTCAGACTCCAGGTGGAGAACCCCTGAGGCTACAAGTTATGGCTCAGACGCTCACAAAATTGACACTGAACACATTGGACTAATTTGGGAGTACACAGATTTTCAACTGTGTCTGCAGACTCTGAATGAAATAACCCTTCCCAGGAGGGAGCAGGAGCATACTCAAGGCAGGAAAGACTTCCAGGAGGTGATGGGTCTCCAGTGGCACCTCTCAGGATGCTGGTGATTTTGAAAATAATTAGCAAGACACATCCATAGCATTAATTAGTTTCTGAGAGGTGGCTGAGGGACAGGGAATTGCTATTTTGGTTGTCCCAATTCAGAGTTCTGCTGCTTAGGTTTCTAGAAGTAATATTTCCACCCCCTCGGGGCACTAGTGATCTTTACCTGGAGGAATGTGCTGTTTACCCTCCCTGGACTGCAGTCCTCGGGCAGCGAATAGCTGACCGGAGAGCATAATCCTCTAGGCACCCACGAAGGACTCTGAATGTGTGTCTTGTTTCCAGTGCACCTTGAGCTCTTAACTAGGGTGCCTAACTGTTCCTGGAGTCCTAGAGTAGGGAGTGCCAGGCTTGAAGCACTGAATGGGCTAATAGTTCTTGTTTTTAATGGTTTTAAGTAATGTCTGACTGACTGCTAATGCTGTCTGTGGTAAACACGTGTGCTAATGAGGTTAATCGCAGGCTCACTGTAAGCAGATTGTCTGGGAGATTGGGGAGGCCGTCCTGCTGGCGATGTGATTGGCTATTTGGAAGGCTGGGGTCCCCAGCGTCCATGAGTGGGAACGCTGGTCTGTGGAATGGACTGTGGGAGAGGCAGGAGGCGCTGTGAGCCCTGGACAGTGCCCTTCTGACCACTGCCCATGCTGCCTGCCCCTGGGCAGAGTGTCAGGGGATGAGAGGAATGCTGCCCTTTCCTCAGCCCTGGAAAGATGCAAAAAGTACAAATTATATGAAAGCGATTTTATGCCTTTCCTCAAGGGCCTTCTTGAGCAATCTGATCCTAAAAGTTCCAGGGAGAATTTCTATTTAAAGTAGGAGGTTGGCCTAGCAAACCAACTCCTGTTCTACCAAGTTCCAGGGGCAGTAACTCTTGCCCAGGGCCTGTGTTTTGCATCTGCCTCCCCACCTCACTACTCTGCTATATTTTTCTCTGAGGTAGTTTCCCCTCCAGCCCAGCAATTATGTTGTTTTTCTCTTGAGACTCAGATTTAAAATCTCATTTCCTGTAAGAATTATTGCTTCAGTGACCTCCTCTTATTCTGATCTGTCTTTTTTGAGGCCCCTGGGATGCAAATTTATACTATGTATTATTTTTCAATTGATTGATTTAAAAAACCACTTTCTTGGTATAGTACATTTGAGGCAGCTTTATCTTGTAATTGTGTATCAGTTGTTTTGTATTTTGCTAGTGTTATGTATTCTTACCTTCTCAGTAAGATTCTAAATACTGCCAATCTGTAGATTAAATTTTCTAATTCACTGTACCCTGAACACCCATAGCCACTAATGTACACATATATATTTGTGAGCATGATGTAATTGGAAATTGAGTAAATGAAATGGGATTGAATGTTGATACACTTCTTGCTATTGAATTGTAATAAAATACACAGGGGCTTACATGCAAGGCAGCTCATTACATAATGAATATTTAAAGTTTAACCACCAGTAGGGTACTGCCCAGCAGGGGGAGATGACTGATTACTGCTCTCTCTTTATTTTGCTTTTAAGAAGAGATCTGTCAGGGAAACATTTGGGAAAGGAAGGGGGGCACTGAGAACCTGGAATTCAAATTGATGACATTCTCCCTTTTTCTGACATGTCATCTCAGGGTCTTTCTTTATAATTTCAGGCATATTTGTGGTTGGATTAGCTCATACTTAAGAAATCAGAGATCATGTGCTGCTAGACAGTCACTGTACACACCATTCATTATTCCCAGAGACACCTGTTACTCTTACCGATTTCTAAACACTTTAGTACACAGTATGGCAACCTGTCCAGAATACTGTCTGTGTTTGAAATTATAAAACTATATCTATAACAGATGTCTGTTTATAAACTTAGCTGTACTCAAACTTAACCTTACCTGAATCTCAGGACACAAAAGACTTCTTACTAACCTCCTTCCTTTCTCCCATTCTGCTAACCCTCTAGGCCCCCTGCTAGGGGCTCACGAATAAAAACAGTGTTTTCATTAGCATAATCCATGACACTAGTGAAAATCACCAAGATGCAGAACAGCCCTTGGAGCATGAGAAGTCATGGTAACTCTGGGGAGCCCACCAGCCTGTGGTGGAATCCTGGCCCCTGTCACTCCTGGCAACTTGCTTAATTTCTCTATGCCTCAGTTTCCTCATCTGTAAATAGAAACTAACAATAGAACAACTACCTCATGGTGTAGTGGAAAGGATAAATGAGTTAATCCATGCACTTCGCACATCGTAAAGGCTCGCTAAGTGTTAGCTGTTACTGTTGTTGTATTACTATTATTTAATATTGTAAGAGAGACTCCGCTGGAGGAAAAAATCTCTCCAAATGAGACCTGTGAGTATAAGCGGATATAAACTCAGGTTTGAAGGAAGAGGTGTGATAAGTATTTGGCAAACCATCACTTACAAATGTTTTTGTGAGAAAAATAGCTTAGATCAATTTTAAGAGATACTAAGACTTAGCTCATTAGCCTCTGTGGAGTCTAAGGCCTTAAGTGCTTTTATGAGTGGGCAAAACAACCTGGTGCTTCCAATTACTCAGGTCAACCTGGGAGTTATCTTTGAATCTCACTTCCTTTCCCACCCTGAATCCCAACCATTAGGCAACACTGTGGGATCTCCCTTCTGATAGATTCAAAATCTGACCACTTACCACAAACAGTCTCCTTCTTGGTTTCTCTACTCCCATTCCCCTTATGCCAGGTCTCTTCCTGGTACCAGAGGGAGACCATTACAACCTAAGCCAGGTCCCAGCACCCTGCGCTCAGAGTCCTCCTCACTCAGAGTAAAAGCTGAGTCCTCACAGTGCCTCAAGGCCCCATAATCAGCCATTCTCTCTCTGGCCTCCCCCACTGCTCTGCCTTCCAGCCCAGGGCCCCAGGCCCCTGCTTTTCCTCAAAGATGTCAGGCACACTCCTGCTGAAGGTTCTGCACTGGCTGTTCCTCTGCTGGAAAGCTCTTCCCCCAGTGTCCATGTGATTAACTCCCTTAGATGTCATCTTCAATGACGGCTGACCTGATCACCCTATTTAACATTGTGACCAACTCTCCACCCCACAGAACCCTGGCTCCTCCTCACCACATTCGACTGTCTTCTTCTTCTTACCACTCTCTGGCATTATATACAGTGTATTTATTATGTTCATTATCTATGAACTGTCTAACCTCCACCTGAATGAAAGTTCCTTTAGGGCAAGGATCTTTGTTTCATTTACTAACTCATCCCAAGTGCTTAGAATGATGCTTACTTAGTACATACTTGGTGTTCAAAAAGATTTTGCAAGTGAAAAAATCTTTATTTATTTTTAAATAAAAGCCCTTCCCTAAGTTCAAAAATAACTACTTCTTTAAGATGCTTTGGTTAATGTATCTATGAGCAAGTGAGTAACTCTGATTGAATGGTACTTTAAAAAATTTCTTTTAAAGAGAGTCTAAATTAAAGGCTGACCTTTTCTAGAGCTCTCCCTTCCCACTATCTACCATTCTGGGGGATCAGAGCACAATATATCTGAGGTGCACATTCCTTTGCTTGAGTATGTGCCTCCTGGGTCTAGGTTTGGGGGCTCTTCTTGGCATAAGCAACCTGGGGATTAGTCTCCCAGTCCAGATCCCTCCTATGGGCTCTTCCTTCCTTAACTCTCTCCCACTATGATCCAAATTTTGTGAAGACAGCCTTTTAAAATATTAACACACTCGAAATGATCACTTCACATGCCTTTGTCAGCTGATGCTTTTTCTTATTAGTCAGTACTTTGGCAGGGATTGTCTGACATTGAGTTGAAGGCAGAATGGAAAGAACTGTCCCTGAGGGGAAGCAGGAGGGTTAAAAGTAGACTTTAATGGGAGACAGTAAAATGGCATGACCAACTGGTCCATTACAGCTTTGCCTTGGGCAGGCTCTGGACAGGTCATTCAAAGTCAGTTTAGATTCCGAGCAGGTTGCCAAAAAAGTTTTAAATACTTGTCAGGTGTTCATCCCAGTTCAAGGCCATCCAGGGAAACCCTTGAAGCTATCCCAGAGCCCAGGAACTTGTATGAGTGTCTAATATTCTATACAATCTGTGCCTTTCTAGCCTAAGAGCCCTGCAATGAGCCGTCTTACAGCTGGTGATGCAGGAAAGGCAGAGACAGTTTGGCTCTTGCCCTTGGGAGCTCGTCTCGGTTCTCCTACCTGGCGCTCCTTCTCCCACAGGATCTGCAGCGTCAGACTCTCCACATTGCAGGCCAAGCACAGCTTGTTTCCAAAGGCCTCTTGAATCTGGTGAACCAAACGTTTGTGATGGGCCTCATCCATGGCATAGAAGTGGTTGAAATCCAGGAAGACAGTCTCTCGGGGGTGCTGTGTAAGAAACGAGTCAATCTCCATTAGCCCATCCCAGACCTTGATGCCAAAAAGCCCATGGATGAAGTAGATCTCCTGGTCAGCGTCCCCTGGCTTGGAGGACACACGCAGGTCGAAGTAGCGGATCCCAGCTTCGAGCTGTTCTCGGAAGGTCAGGTTCTGAGTCACAGACCATTTCTTCATTAGCTTCTTCACCAAGGAGATCCTGGCGAGGCGCTTGATAGCGGGGGTTTGGTCAGGCCCCACGGGGGACTTCTCATCTACCCAGTAGCTGAATGAATCATGGGAGCCTATACAAAGGAACAAAGGTGAGGACAGCAGATGAAACTGGACCTGGCAAAAATAAGCCAGTCGATAGGAAAACAAACAAAAATTAGGAGCCAAATACACACCAAAAAATGGTAAAAAAATATCTGCAAAATTTTTCAAGCTTGCTAGTAATGAAATAAGCACAAATAAAAGTAATGTCGTCTTTTTAGCAGCTTAAGCCTGAGGTAAAACTATAATCTTCATATATTGCTAGTGTAAGGTAAATTAATAAGTACCCTTTTGGAAAGCTATATAGAAATATGTTTGGAAAGAGGAGCTTGAAAATATTTATACTATTTGATCTAGTAATTTCATTTCAGGAGAGCTTATTGAGGAACTAAACTTATTTTGAGAAAGCAAATGTTTGCTGGAGACTAATCATAACAGAGACAAATGGGAGGTTGCTTGAGTGTCCCTCGCAGAAGAGTAATTAAAGATGGCATATTGACTTTATTCATGAAGTCATTGAAACAGAGGGAATGAAAATTCTGTCCATCTCAGTAATGCTGGGATAGGCATCTAAATTCCAGGAAAGGCAGAACTAACTGATAAGAACAGAAACTAACTTGATCTTGGCCAAAAGACTGAGAAGCGATGGAAAGGGAAAATGAAAAAAACACACACAACAATGCTAACTTATTTTTATGCTTTTGTAAATACTATTTTACTATTGTAAAAACGAGTCTATAGGGGACATCTTATCGAGGCAGCAGTGGTAGCAGCTGCTCTTTGAGTTTCGCTATGCTGCCCAAGGATGACAAGAAGAAGAAATATGCCGGAAAATAGGCCAAGAAGGCAAAGACTCAGTGAACAATCTGGGGCAAGGCCAAAAAAAAGAAGCAGTCCAAAGGCAAAGTTTGGAACAAGCTCAATGACCTAGTCTTGCTTGATAAAGTAACATGACAAACTCTATAAGGAAGTTCCCAACTACAGGCTCACTGAGAGGCTGAAGATTTGTGGTTCCGTGGCCAGGGAAGTCCTTCCGGAGTGCCTTAGTAAAGGACTTATTAAACTAGTTTTTCAAGCACAGAGCTCAAGTAATTTACACAGGAAACACCAAAGGTGGGGATGCCCCAGCTGCTGGTGAAGACACATGAACAACAGGTCCCACCAGCTATACATTTTGAAAAACAAAACTTTATTAAATAAAAAAATAAGTCCACAGGAATGATTTCTTGACAAATCAGACAAACATTCTGAAAACTTGGGCACAGATTAATTATATGGCCTCTTTTCAACTCATCTCTTAATGAGCCGAATCTGCTATTACATGATCAAATGTATGTTCCCTTCCTCTGCCTTAAAGAACAGGAGGGTAGGTTTCCTCCTAGACCCTGCGCTGATCTTATTGTTATAAAGTATAAGTGACATGATAGACACATTTTTAACTATAGTGAGAAAATATTTCTAAGGTGGAAATTATCTTTAACAAAGACCTTTCAGTTTGTCACTGGCTTCCATCTTGCGTCAGCCATAATTATTTGGTAGCTCTGTGACTGGCTCTGATACTGGAGACCCCACACAGGCGGCTGTGCTTTGCAAGCAAAATCAAAGAGGAAAACACGCTTGTTCTGACTCCACTAACCTCGTTCTTAACCACTACCACCCATATAAGAATTAAAATGCTTACTTCATACTAGTTGATTGTTACCAGTTATCTCTTTTATGAAATCTCAGAGTATGCATTTCATATATAATATAGAACTTCACAAAACTCTCCTGTTTTATACTTTATTATTTCCATTTTCTTGAAAATAAATCATTCTGGGGTGGCTTTACTATTTTATCTTCTCAGAAATAAAGTGAAAAAAGAAAAAAAAGGTGACAAGCATGCTTTATTTTTATGTAGACTCTGAAACATGGAGAATAGTCAGTAACTATTAAGAAAAAAATGTATTTACCAATCATTAGGGGAAGCCAATTTTTGCAAGCAAGAAAATTACTAGCATATTTCAGGTAAAAAAAAAAAAAAAAATTGCTGTTACTCCTAGAAATGTGGAGCAAGCCTCCCTGGATTTTCCGTATTGGTTGCTTCTGTTAATGAGACTCTTTGGATACTTGCCTAATGCTCTGCTTCCTTTGGCTGTACCGAAACAGTAAATCTTTATACCTCCTCATCAGGAGATTTACTATGAATACATTATATATACATGGTGAACAGTCACTTCTCTCTTTTCTTTAAATCATCTTAGCAGCCCAGCTGTTCAGGACTGAGTGTGCAATGCAGCGCGAGGCACCACTGAACTTCATTCTTCCCTGGGTATCAGGGAACAACCATTACCCAAGCATGGGAGGAGACAGTTCCCCTCTGGAACTGTCTGGTTGCTGCTGAGCCCAGTTTTATTTCCAGAGGGAGATGTGCTAACAACCTCCAAGGCTTTTCTCTGAGTCTGAGGATTGTGCAGCAGTGTGACAGCGACAGGGCCTCAGGGGCATTTCTGCATACATAGGGACACATACACGGTACCCAGCCCGTCACAGAAGAGGGAGGGCCAGCACATTCCCTGGGAACACAGTCTCTCTTTATCTCTCTGCTCCCTTTTCCATTTCCCCTCTTCCTTTCTGACATCCTGTGTCCAGAGTTGCCCCTCCCTCCCCTTGACAGGAAAGGACAGGACAATGGAGCAGATTGTTTGCTGCCTATTTTACAGCAGTTGTCCTACCCAGCCCTATGGCAGTCAAAACCAGCCATTACTCTACCACCAATATTTTTGCCTGTCTACTTATTTTTTCCCCAGGAAGCTTTTGCCTCATATAGAGTGAGTGAAATAACATGGGTACTTAACCCTATTTCACTATTTCTTTTTTGAAAAACAGGATAAAATGTCCTCCTCTGTCCTGCACAGAGAATATTTACAAGGTATGAAATCTGCAGATAGTAATGATAAAAAGAAAATCCTAATATTTCACACCCCAAGTTCATTATCAATGCTTCCTCTTCCCCCTACACCTGATGCAAGTAATTTTACTCTTAAATCTCCAGAAAAAGAACTAAATGATATGGAGGCAAGCAATTTACCAGATATAGAGTTCATAAAGATGGTTATAAGGATGCTCAAGGAGCTTAGTGAGAACTTCAACAAAGAGATAATAAAGCATAAAAAAGAACATAGAAATCATAAACAAGAACCAGTCAGAAATGAAGAATAAAGTATCTGAAATGAAGAATACACTAGAAAGAATGAAAAGCAGGTTGGTTGAAGCAGGACTGAATCAGTGATTTGGAAGTCAAGGTAGCAGAAAACATCCAATTAGAGCAGCAAAAAGAAAAAATAATTTTAAAAAATGAGGACAGTTTAAGGGACCCTTGGGACAACATGAAACATAACAATATCCATATCATACTAGTACCAAAAGGAGAAGAGAGAAAGCACTGGATCGAGAACCTACTTAAAGAAATAATGACCAAAAACTTCCCTAACCTGTTGAAAGAAAAAGATACACAAGTTCAGGAAGCACAGAGTCTCAAACAGGATGAACGCAAAGAGGCCCACACCAAGACACATCATAATTAAAATGCAAAAAATTAAGGACAAAGAGAGAATCTTAAAAGCAGCAAGAGAAAGACAGCTAAACAAAAGCTTCCAAAAGACTGTCAGCTGATTTCTCAACAGAAACATTTCAGGCCAGAAGGGATTGGCATGAAATATTAAACATGATGAAAACAAAGGGTCTACAACCAAGACTACTCTAACTAGCAAGGCTATCATTTAAAATTTAAACAGAAATAATGAGCTTCCCAGACAAGAAAAAGCTAGAGGAATTCATTATCATACAACCAGTATTACGAGAAATGTTAAAGGGTCTTCTTTAAGAAGGCAAAAACATACAGTGGGGCCAGCTGGTGCGGCTAAGTGGTTGAGCATCGACCTGTGCACCAGGAGGTCACGGTTTGATTCCTGGTCAGGGCACATGCTCAGGTTGGGGGCTAGATCCCCAGGAGGGGATGTGAAGAAGGCAGCTGATCTCTCATCCATGTTTCTATCTCTCTCTCCCTTTCCCTTCCTCTCTCTCTAAAAATCAATAAAAACATATATTAAAAAAAACATATATACAATGAGGTAAAGACAGTCTCTTCAATAAATGGTGCTGGGAAAATTGGATAGGTAATTGCAAAAAAATGGAATTAGACCACCTTCTTACACCATACACAAGAATAAACTCAAAATGGGTTAAAGACTTAAATGTAAGACTTGAAACCAAAAAAATCCTAGAAGAAAACATAGGCAATAAAATTTTATAGCAATATTTTTTCTGATATGTTTCCTTAGGCAATGGAAACAAAAGAAAAATAAACAAATGGGACATCAAACTAAAAAGGTTTTGCACAGCAAATGAAACCATTAACAAAATGAAAAAACAACTCACTGAATAGGAGGACATACTCGCCAATGATACATCTGAATAGGGGTTAATATCCAAAATTTATAGAGAACTTATAAAACTCAACACCAAAAAAATAAACAAGCCAATTAAAAAATGGGCATGGATGGACCTGAAGAGTATTATGTTAAGTGAAATAAGCCAGTTGAGAAAGAGAAATACTATAAGATTTCACTTATATGTAGAATCTAATGAACAAAATAGAAACAGACTGATAGATACAGAAAACAGACTAACAGCTGTTAGAGGGGAGGGGTTTTGGGGGTGCTGGGTGAAAAAGGTGAAGGGAAGCAAAAAATAACTCTCATAGACACAGACAACAGTATGATGATTAACAGAGGGAAAGGGGGGTGGGGGAAATAGAAGAGGGTAAAGGGGGTATAAATGGTGATGGAAGGAGACTTGACTTTGGGTGGTGAACACACAATACAATATACAGATGATGTAGGATAGAATTGTACACCTGAAAGCTATGCCAATTTATTAACACATTGTTTGCGGGTAGTTTTTATCGCGCGCTCTACCACCAGTCAACGTAAAACGTATAAATACGTTTCCCGCATACAATGTGTTAACCAATGTCACCCCAATACATTCA